AATATTGTAGGTGACACACTTTCCATTGTCAAGGTCTTCGTTACGTCCGCCTCAGTCCCGGAGACACCCCTTATTTTACCGACAATTGCAACTACTATTTGCGAGGTTGTCGGTGAAGACACTATTGAGTGGAACTAAAAGGACGTATGGATCTACTTTCATTTCTTTCATGTATTTTGTTCCAAAACTTAAAAGAAATATTACTAAAACTAAACCTACTTCTGTTGGCAATTGTAGCTCATGCGCCACCCCTGAAGTATTTCAACCGATTCCTTAATGTTTTGTCCTTGTTTGCCTTATCGATTGCATATCGTAGCAATGTTTGGATGGTAGGTTGTTATGGCTATGTGAATAACCTATGGATTAGATGCATAGACATTTGGAGTTATCTTTTGTGCGGTGAGAATTGTGGTTATGGATTAATGGATATTCCTACTTGCTTATTACTAGTTTGGATGTTTGAAATACTTGTGTTTTGCAGAACATGATGTCCAAGTGGAGATATGGCTAGGCTTGTTTGATGGGATACTTTATTTTTTTGTTAGGTGATGGACATCGACTTGTAAGTACTGTTATGTTACTATCCTATGTTGGGATTCCCTTATAGTGTTTATTGTTTACAATTATGGTCGATCGTGATATTTATAGCATGGTTATGTACAAAATATGTTTCGGTATAAGGGAGATCACAACAGGTCAATTTGTTACGCACAATTTCAATTGCATCACAACCACTATTTTTTATGAGACACTTTTTTTCCATAACAAAAGGATAAAAATGTCGTAACAAAATGTTATTTCTGGATGTTTGTTACGACCATTTTTGTGACAATAAGTAAGGATAATTTTTGTAAGGGTTTAGTGACGTAACAAAAGGATGCAATGACGTAACAAAAAGATGAAATGACATAACAAAGAGTGATTCTTGGATGTTTGTTGTTACGGCCAGTTTTGTGATCATAAGAAAATATATTTTTTATTACAGGTTCAGTGACGTAAAAAAAAATGCGTAATAGAAAGCATACTCTGAAAAGCGGTCATAGTAATGTTTTGGGTAACGCGAGGAATTTTCGTAACAAATATTGTGACAAAAAGTCCTGCCACACGCGCGAAAAGCTCGACTTATGATTACGAGAGAAAATTCGTAACAAACATCGTAACAAAAATCCTGCCATAGGTAGCGTTGACCGACAGTAATAGTTACGAAAAATTGCGTGGCAAAAAACATTCGTTACGCGAGTATACATTACTAATAGAAGTCGTCACTAAGGCGTAGTAAATACGCAAATTGCACGAAAAATGACTTTTTGTTAAGATTTTTCCAGTTGTAGTATAAAACTGTTTTTTTGGTAGTGCATGTTACTAGGGCATATATATTCATTATTGAAGCATATAAGACTATTATTATAGGTACGTAAGATTTGTTCCAGGGTATGTATATTTTGTATGTAGGTATGTAAGTATGTGAGTTGGGTACAAACACCGATCAACGAGGTATAAATAATGGTTGCGTAGGTATTATTTGTGGAGTATCAGGTATCCTCGAATTTAGTTGATTTCAGTCAATCTCACGCAGATGAACTGATTCACGAACTCGGTAAGAGCACTTTCTCTGTTAACCTCGGTGGACCGAATATTGTTATGTGTGCTACAGTATAAATTACTATGTAGTATATTTAAATAACAATCAATCCATGAGAACAATGATGTATGATAGTGTTTCCCCATTGGATTTTGGTAAACATGTACTATTTGCATGTTAATACCCTCGAAAAATAGGTAAAAGTTTCTATCTTGTTTAATTCATCCCCGGTTACCATTAACATGTGAGTATATATTGTTTTCAAGGACTATTTTATTAAAATTATTGATCGTGTCAATAGTATTTTTGTGAGATTAAATTTACTTTCAATGACACAATTATATAAGAATGAGACTTGTTTGGACTATAATGGAACTATAGGTATATTGGTGCATAATATATTGCATCATAGAACTTGTATTTATTCTTATATTTTCAACGTCATCCCAACTAAGTATTTTCTATATTGTTTATCAATCCATAGTAAATATGTGTTGTTTATCTTTCATATAATTCTAGGATTCTCGAGAACACTATAATGATGAATTCATCCATAATTACCGACAACAATTGAATGTTTTAAATGCGGAATGATCCGTTTCCAAGAACAAGTTATCAGGGCATAGATACTCATTACTGGAGCATATGAGATCGTATTATAGGTACAAAAAAACTACCCCAGGGTATTTTGAAATTTAATGCAGTATGTAACAATATGTTCTGGGTACGAGCATTGACAATCAATATATTATTGTTGGCTACTTAGATATTATTTATGTAGTAGCAGGTATCATTGAATGTGGTCGACTTCACTCAATCCTTTGACAGATGAGGCAATTAAGGAATTCGGTGAAAATACTTCTTCTATTAGCACTTCTTCACTTCATTGGTGGTTGAGAGAAATGAAAACGATTAAGATGGCATAAACCTTTGCAGTACATGTATATATTTTCTTTCTTAGGTGAACCACTAATGTACTCAAGTATCTATAAATTCACTTTTGTTCATTCCAAGCATTACTTCAACTATTGCAAGGTCTTGTAATGAATTATTTAATTCCAATTTAGGAGAAATATGCATAATTTTTTTGGCTTGTTGTTGTCTTTGTACAAGGATAACCTTTCTAACTAATGAGTAACATGTATATGAGCATATATGTATTTTGAAGGTATTTTGATTTAGTTAAACGGGTACATCAATCTCTTGTGGAGGTACATTATGTGCATTATTGCAATTCTGACTCTGTGAAGAATTAATCATACAACCATTCAAAACACAGTTGATAACATTACTCCAAAGATTAAGTTTCACCAAATTCAACCCATAATTCAATCCCTTAATCAATCTTAATACAATCTCATTAATTAGAGACCAATCAAACCAATTCAACCAACAATTCAATTCGAAAATAACATATTACCCAAACTAAACACAGATGCCATAACCCAAATCAATCCCAAATTCATTACAGATGTTAGCTTACCTTGCGCTGCTCATCAAAATCTACGGTTCAGAGGACGGACCATCAATATTTTGGCCGCAATTTTACTGTGGTAGCTTTTCACATTATCAAACTCGCTGCCAATACCACCAAAGGGATGAACTACCGGATTCACGTGGGCATAACTTTCGGTGAACATGCGGACTAAAATACTGCAGTCGAGAGTGTCACCTTGATGCCGACATCTTATGTATTCGGGCGTTTTCCTCACCATGGGCCATAGGTGTATTGCGATCAGGTACAACTGTACAAGTATAAAAAATATGTCTGTAAAAATAACACAATATTTTGTTACGTAATTCGGTTTATCCACAGTCAATTTTATATTTATTTTGTAAACACGGTAATTTTTTCGTGTTCCTTTGTTCGAACGGATCACGCAGTGAATTGCATTCAAGCAGAACCCAACCTACGGTCTGTAAATAAATATCATCAATCTATATTACCTAAATCTCAAATTTATTTAAAAATTTATTAGAATCCATTAGGACTATGTAACAATATATTTCGAATACACAGTAGTCCCCTAAAAGTATACTCTTAGCATACTAGACCTAAAAGATACAACTTGGGGTACCTAACAATACCACATTTTCCAACCCACAAACATGACTAATTACTGAACAATCAAACTAAAAAACTAAAATATTCAACTTTGGATAACTAAAAAGATATACATTTACAAAATTAACAAAAATCACTGATTAAGCAAACAAAATCACCCAAATCGGTGCGAAAATAAAACACCCAACTCGATTTACACGGGCAAATATGTGAACAATTTCAAAGTCGATTAACAAACACAACTACACCAATCACTCAGGGCTCCTCAACACCGAACCGAGACATACAAACACGGGACCAAGACTTACACCCCAAATAATCAAACAAACTACGGTATAAAATACTAATGTCAACAGAATAAAAAATCGAAAAAGACCGACCAGACACTTACTTCTTCGAGCAGGTAAGTTATTTTCTATACTATTTTTGCACCGATCGATCAATACTTGCTCGCTAGGGGTTGGAGAACGTCGGTTTGCCTAAAAATGGAAGAGGTAGGGTTTAAAATAAAAGTGAGGGGAGTTATGGGAGATTTCCTGCCTCAACCCCTATTAAATCGTGGGTAACTGTTTTTATTTTTTTAATTCACGAAAAAAGTATCCGATATTTAACTAGAAGTATATAAGATTATAACTGGGGCAGAGCGGGAAATAATATAGGTATTTATTACAACATTTAAAGTATTGATCAACCTATTTCGAGTACCTATTGCGTATACAATATTAATTTAGGGGAAAATACAATTGGGGAGCTATAACATACCTAATCCATAAAGTAGGGACTGCAGTCTAATTTATTTTAAATAGGGTCTGAATTGCAAGTAGAGTTATTTGACAGGGATTTTAAATCAACTTTTCCTATTTTTTAATTTACTATCAAATTTAAAATAAGTGTACTGAGATTGTTTTTTTGAAGAAACTGGACAATTCAAAATAAGTATACCGAGAGTATTGGAGAAACTGGACAATGTTAATATTGTTTGGGCCAAAACCAAACAATTAAACAAACCTTATGATGTGTTCTTTTGTGGTTTTCACAACCGGTTTTTACTATGCATATTCATTTTTCCTTGAATAATATCATATTAAACAATTAATTTTTTTTTTCATATTATACTACAAATTTATTTTACATTCAAAATATCAAATCAACTTCTATTTATATCACATCAAACAATTATTAAATTCAATTTTTTAGGATTCAAAAATCAAACCAAACCAAAAAGCCACAGACAAACACACCCTATATATTTATTCATATATTTCTAGAAGGGCTAACGTGTAAATAGAACAAAAATTGGGGAAGATACGCAATTAATGTATGTAATTGAATAAAGGGCAAAGTCGAGGCGATTTGCGGGCACCATTTTAAAGCAGTGCTGTGTTCTCTGTCACTATTGCCGAATAACCACCAACGGAAGATGTCTTCTGCCGGCGTCGCGGTGGCGGACGGCGGTCCGCAGATGTACTTCTGTCACCAATGCGAGCGTACAGGTGTGATCGTACCTTCTCCCGTCGGCGATCTCCTATGCCCGTCCTGCAACTCTGGTTTCGTCGAGGAATTCCAAAACCCTGACCCTGACCCTAGCGCCGACTTTGCCGACCCTTTCTTACTCGACCCAGTCTCGCTCTTCCTCTCTCAGGTCCTACTCCCTTCCTCATCATCCAACCCTAATTTTAACCCTACAACCTTCCAGGGATTAGCCAGAGAATCCCCGCTGGAGGCGGACGCTTTCGATCCCATGTTTTACTTGCTTAATCTTCTCGCTAATCGCCGCGCCAGCGGAATCGATTACCAGTTCGTGATGGAGGATGGTCCGTCTGGATTCGCTGTTCCGGCGAATATCGGGGATTATTTCGTGGGGCCAGGATTTGAGCAGCTTATACAGCAGCTTGCGGAGAATGATCCGAATCGGTACGGAACGCCGCCTGCGGCGAAGTCGGCGGTTGAGGCACTGCCAAGCGTTGAAGTTGATGAAGGTTTGGTGAAGTCGGAGATGGCGCAATGTGCCGTGTGTATGGATGACTTTGAAATTGGAACTGTGGTTAAGCAGATGCCTTGCAAACATGTCTATCACCATGATTGTATAATTCCTTGGCTTGAGTTGCATAATTCGTGCCCTGTCTGTCGGTACGAGCTTCCAACTGATGATCCTGATTATCAAAGTCTGGTTAATTCAAGCAGGAGTGGAAACACTGGAGGAAATGGCAGTAATAATGAAAACTATGATTCAGCTGGAGGTTCTGAAAGGCAAAGGACAGTGGAGAGGAGGTTTACAATCACATTGCCATGGTTATTTGGAGGGTCTGGTTCAAGCTCAGGCTCAGGCTCGAGCGGCGGCGCATCAGACCAGCATAATCGGGAATAAAATCGAAACAAGTGAGTATAAGTTTTTGATTTACACATCGCATTGAGCTTCTACTCCATGTCTTTCTATCTATTTGTTTGGAATTAGTACTTGTATATACTAATTTGTATAGATTGAGAGAGCTTTTTATGTAAAAAAATTGCATTTGATGTTTAGATTGTTGTATGTAGGTTTTAAGATATAAATGTAATTAAAACTTATATGTATATGGCGTAACTTATGACAACACCCTCTAGTTTCTAATAGTATTCAACACAAAACTTCTTTTCTCTTCATAAAATTAGGAAAATGTAGCTGGAGAAGTGAAAATTCTGTATTTTAGTTTTTCAAATCTGTCTTCATCGACTTGTTGCATGTTTTAAGTATATTGATAGTCTCAAATTTATATGGCCTTTTATAGATTTTATTAATTTATGCATTCAGATCATGATGGTTATTTGATTGATTCGTATATGGTATGCTAAATGGTTAAATTGCTATAGAGCATGAAATCAATCTTGTGTATCATCTCTGTCGTGGGGTTGGGGGCATGCCAATGTCTATTGCTAATAACTGCAATATGAAATGTTTAATAATGCTGTGGTGTATGAAATCTGAATAAATGCATGTGATCTGGAATTCTGGATATTTATGATGTTTAGAGTGGGCGTCCTGTATATTCTGGGTATTCATGATCGATTAGATCTCAGAAAGGTATGTTGTCCAGTCCTCATGATCGAGATGTTTAGATCCCTTGATTTGGAAATGTAGGCTAAGCTATAACCTGGTATGTATTATGTGGCTAACTGAAACTTTGGTACTTTCACTTTTACTAACTGAAACTTTGATGCTAACCTCTATGACATGTGGATCTTAATCTGAGTTGATGTGCGACACGTGTGAAGCATCTCCTATGATCTTGGAATGTTTTATTAACAGTGGGGAACAATATACTGCTGCTAATTTTTTTGTCGTTTCTATATCTATATGACTAGGTTAAAGATTTAGAGCACTTATGGAAGGTCTTTATATAATTATGAATTCTCTTCAGCGTATGAATTATGCATGTTGTATATATATATGTATATATTAATGCAGGAATGAGTGGATTCAACTCTCTCTCTCTCTCTCTCTCTCACTATCATTATACACCAACCAGTTACTTGTGCTCATTTATTATGTGTGTATGTATATGCATATGTATACATTGGTTATGATATTGCACTTTCCTCACATTAATTGTAGCATGACCTGCTTTTTATGTGATTCCAGACATGGTTTAGTAGCCTGTCTCATCACTGCATTTTAATTAGTTATCCTGTTCTCGATAATAATTGATACAGATCAACAAACAATACTTAATTAAGAAAGAACATAGATATCATTCAACTTGTATTAGATAAATGCTATCCTAAATTAGTTACCTATAATTAGATATAATATTAGAAAAGGTTTTGCACTTAGTTTTATTTTCATTTACTATATTATACTAAAATTTAAATTTATATTCAAAATATTACATCAAGACCTATTTATATATATCATATCAAATAATTATTTTAACTAAACAATTTACTTTTCGAAACCAATAACCAAGGAATTTTAACAAAACTAAATAATGGCACCACTTGCACTTGAGTCAAAGGCGCTCATGATGCATTTAATAGCATAGTTGTCCATCTGGGATCATAGTTGTCAATCACGGATAGCGGTGCGTAGCGGTCAACATCTAAAATGTTATAGCGGGATAGCGGATAGTGGTTTGACTGTTGTTTAATTATTTAAGAATATATATAAATTATTATTTATACGAAATTATAACAAAAATACATAAGAAAAACCTATAAATTAATCTCATAATTATCACGCAAACCAATAAAATGTCAGTATATATATATATATGATCATAACTATTAGATAGTTATATAAACAAAAACAATTAGATCACTATTGTGTGATAGATATATACTAATCAAATCAAAATCTGATAAAAAAAAATTTCTTTTGCTTAATTACTTTTGTCTATATATTCTTCCTCATCTTCTTCATTCTCATCCATTTATTCAATTGTATGTTCCTCACCTTATATAATATCATTTTCCTTTTTAGAGCTAGAAGTACCTATAGTTTTCTTTCTCATTGATGTATTGATGTTTGTATCTTAGTGTGGATAGTAGACCTATTAGCATCAACAGCAACTCCCATAGTCAAATTATTATTGTCGATGACTAACCTATCATATGCAATTATCAACTTCTTTAATCAACCACTCATTATATTATTTCAAAACAATAAGACCAATCACATCATTGCTACCATAATGATCTAACAAATTTTGATTATACTTGATATAAACCAAATCTTACAACTTTTGGCTTTCTAATTTGTTTATTTTCTTGGAATGAATCTAAAATTTTAGTTAAGATTTAAGATAAATATTTTTTTTTGTCTATATTATAATAAAAAATTACTTTTTATAAGTTAAAGTTGGATTTCAATTATTTACGTGTTAAAAAATAATCCAATAAGCTACAATAGCGGAATAGCGTAACGCCGCTACGGGTGTGCTATTGAAAACTATGTCTGGGATACTGGTATGTAGGGGTCAATGTCTAAAATGCTATAACGGGATAGCAGATCGCAATATAACCACTACTTAAATAAGGGTGTGTTTGTTTGGGGGTTTGGATTTTGAGTTGAAATTTGAATAGTAAATATTTTTTAATTTGAATAGTTATATGCTGTGATATAAAAATATGTTGACGTGATATTTTGAATGTAAAATTGATTTTAGTATAATATAAAAAATAAAAAATAGGTGTTTGATTTGATTTTTTTGGGGAAAAAATTGTATGAATAGTAAGGTTAGAGGAAAATCCTCCAAACAAACACACCTTAAGAATATATATAATTAATAGGTGTGTTTGTTTTGTGAGATTGTTGAAAATAAAAGTTTTTTTATGTGAGGTATAGAGAATTCTGTAGGGAATATAAAAATAATGAATATGTACAGTGTATAATTTTTTTTTTGGGAAAACATGCAAAAAAAACATAAAAAGAACAAAGCCATTATATATACAAAATTATAACAATAATCCATAAGAAAAATCTATAAGTTAATCTCATAATTATTCAAACCAATAAAATGTCAAAAAATATATGGTAACATCCTGGCCGGCTCAAGCCGGAGCGTCACCGCCACGCCACACCGGAAGGCTCGTTCATCAACCAACGAGTCCTACGTTGTGGCGCTAAGGCTAAAATAATAAATACAAACAACTAAATAGAAATTTAGAATTAAAGCCCATCGCCTTATCATTTAAATAAAAATGTTCGAGTCAAAAGCATAAGTTGAAAATAGTTCAAAAGGCATTAATTCTTAAACATAATTAATTAACTTCAAAAGCATTTTAGAAGATAAGGTAGTTCTAGTTCCCCCGATGGATCATATGACGTGAATGCATCATTTAGGTATAACAAAAGCATCATCACCTACAAAAAGGTTGTAAGAAGAGGGTCAACATAACGGTTGAATAATCGTAATTAATTGAAAATAAATTAATACGATATAATGCTACAAAATCATTTGAAGAAGATAATTTAAATAAGATGACACGTATCACATAAAGATAACTCAAACACACGAGTCTTTTAGCGTCTCCCTTTATATCTCTTTTTCATTCTCAAATAATAGTGATGATCACATCACAAAGAAAACTCCACTAGGCCTTAATCAGGGCCGGCTCGACCTGGTTTTCCAGCCTTATTACTTCGTACGACACGTCACATATCTACACATAACAAGCTTAGGGTCAAAACCCTTAAGGAAAGCTCCACAATGTGTATCTAAGGGTTCGAAGCCCAAAGTACACATAAGTCAATTTATTATTAGTTTGCGAGGGGCGACAAACGGCCTACAACCTTCTAGTCCCCAATATAACATACCAAAATGGAATTGTATGCAATCCAAATCTCCATCACGGATGACGGTCTAAAGACTTTTTTATCGTGAATGACGGGTACCTTGGAATCACCCAAAAAAGGAACCCGCCATCTCGATCCCTCGACCTAGCCCATTCGGGATCTAATTCGAAGTTAGCTAGTTATCCTAAAATACCGGTATACCCTCACGTGTTTGCAAGGCACAGAGATGGAAGGCTATGCCTTATCATCCAAACAATCGACGAGTTGATCGGATTCAACGGGTAGTTTTAATTACTAATTTTACCCAATACTCAACATGCTTTTAGGCAAATTTAAAAAAGAGAGCTTTAAATTCAAAATATTTCAATTGTCAACATTTAACCAACTAAAAAGTGGAATATTAAAATCTAACAAGTTCGTTATAATCTCACTTTATTTCGCCAAATAAACATTCTAAAAATATGTCCATCCCAATAGGTATAAATATTTTCTTAAAAAAAGAACCATAACTAGATTAGGGCAAAACTGGGGTTTCAAATTCATTTCACAAATTTTACGATTTTCAATTTAACATATTATAATAATCTTCACATAAGCCCTAAGAGACATTATAACCAATTTCTAGAAAAAATTGGCAAAACCTAACATTTGTAGGTCAAATCCATTTGAAAATAATTTTGAAAAATATCAATAGAAGGGATCTAGGGATTAGAACTATCATCTATCTATGATTAATTCCACTTACCTTAGGAGAAAGAGCCCTAAAGGAAGAGTTTTGGAGAAGAAAAATTCCAAGGAAAAAGAGGGGGGCTGGACGGCGCTGGCGTGTCTGCAGACTGCTTCTGTTTTTTTTTTATTTTATACTTTATTAAACATAAAAAATTTTGGCCTTTATTATTTATTTTACCCTACTGGGCCCAAATTGGTCCAAACTCAATTTTTACTCTTAATTCAAACCCAATTCTTTAATTTCTTACATCAAAAGCCCAAAATAATATTGTCGGACTCCGGCAAATCCCGACAAACTTCCGGCGATTATTTTTACGGGGTATTACATATATGATCATAATTCTTAGATAGTTATATCAAAAAGCACAATTAGATCCCTATTGTTTGATAGATATATATCAAAGTTAATCAAATTCATAATCTAATAAATACGTTTCTTCCCCAAATTCGCTATCCTCACTGCTACTCTTGCATAGATATTCTTTATCATTCTTCCTCTTCTTCATTCTTATCAATTTCTTCTATTGTTTATTTGTTGCCTTGCATAATATCATTTCCTTTTCTAAAGTTGGAAGTAGCTATAGCTTTCTTCTCATTGATGTTTGCATTTAGTGTAGAAGCAGGCCTATTAGCACTAGTAGCATCAGCAACAACCCCCGAAGCCAAATTATCAATGCTAGAAAGCCTATTAATGACCATTCTAAAATTAAGGCTATCTATATATATTGTCATGATTCCATTTGGGTATCATTAAAATTTCCAGAACTGGATGGATATGAACAGCATATACCAATGTGTGATATGGCAGAATATATGATATTGTGATGGATCGATGAATTTTGTTTGATGATGCCTTGTGAAGGAATATAGGTTCTAATTATATCAATGGCCATCACATAATGGATTTCATCTTTGAACTTTTGGGAAGAAACAAGGGTTTGTTCTTCCAACAAACTTTTTCCCCACACGATTCCTATAATATGTATCATACATAAATATTATTTTTATATTACCTATACAATTTCCTATAACTATAACTCAGCATAAAAAAAATTACCTTGAACCAAAACACTAAACAAATAAACCCAAATAAATAAAAAAATTTCCCAGTTGCTTGATATTTCAAGACTGAAAAGACTTCATTTTAAAATGGCATTTTTAGTAGGTTAAGCAAACATGTTACTAGAATTATCAATTTTTAAGTCGGGGAGACGGGGACCGTTCATATATCGTGTAAAGTAACTCCATGGTAGAAGCAGTCTCTCTTACTTTTTTATTGCACTTAACATGAAGTGCAAAGTGGTAATGGATTACTAGATTTTAATATTGAAATGTTAAACTAGATATTGACCACCTAAAAGCACAACTCATGCATCTTGTGCAGTATGGAAGGAATGGCATTTGACGTTTAGAAGTAGCTTTTTGGTTCTTAATAGATCTATACCTTGTGCTATTTTGTTATTGTTTTTGCAAATTTGCTAGATAATTGACCAGATAGGCACTCTCAATTTAGAGGATTTCATGTTTTAGACTTTAAGATTCTGTAAGAACAAAACGGGTGTTCCCCCCCCCCCCCCCCCCCCCCCCCCCCCGTTGATAAGGAATTTCTGTATTTGGAAAGTATCATGATTATTCAGTTAGAGGGGTGGTTTTCATGTTTTTCACATGAAATTTAAAGACCTATTTATTCTGACCACAGGTTGGTGATGATCTCTTGATTGGCTGAAACTCAACAATTACTGTTTTATCATTTTTCTTGTTTTTTCATTTTTAGCTTCTCTATTCTGAGCTTGTATGGATATGAACCAAAGCACCGGTAATGCAATATGGCAACAATTGGAGCAGCATATCCACACTTGCTGAATCTATAGGACTTCTGTTAATTTTGTGTGATCACCTTATATGATGATAAGTATCTGTTGGTTATGGTCGTAAGAGTTTGTTGTATTCTATCCATGTGAATGATCATAGCTGCTGCAGCTTCCATTCAATCATGTTATCTGGTTTACCTACTACCTCAAATTATGCATCTGGTACTTTGAGTTCCAAATTCCCAACTATATCATTGGTGTATTGTCAATATCTATATATATATATATATATATTTCCTCATTAAATTTTTTGAATATGTTACAGCCCCAATCAAGTGCTTCACTGAATGTGAGGTGGTGCATGCTTCCATGCCTTTTTCCTTGGGTCTAACTTTGTTTTTGATAAAAAATTTATATATCATTGTTGAATGTCGGTATTTGTGGAATTTCCATACATCGAACATGATTAACCTGGACTGATGACATTGCAGCTTTTACAGTGTGCTGGAAGTTGAGAGCTAGCAAGCAAGCAAGCACTGGTGGAGTTTGTATGCGCTTTCTACCGATAAACATATGGTAACTTAAACTCCCATGTGCTTCTAAGAGCACACTGCTTAAAGTTACGCTTGAAGCCTTTTCACTCCTTTTTCCAGTGAGCAAAACTAGTTTGATTCCGTCAATGTACAGTCGGTTACTGGTACATTTGCAGTCTATTGTTTGCCAGTGGAACAATCTTTACTTGTTTCAAAAAAATAGATGCTTGCTCAATTACAGAAAATGTATGCATGCATGCATGCTTGTTTCCCGATGGATCATTCTTACAGATTAGCATAGCATGGTAATTTTTTAATAATCGTTAAAGCTTGTTGGTATTATTCTATTCATGCTGCATTTTATTATGTTTCTATTCTTTGGTTGGTATTCGTTGCTAGTTGAAATTTCGTAAAAACTTTCATCTCGAAGATGGATTTTGGATGCTGTTACTATCTGCCCGAACTTTATTCGTTAAGTGGAATTTTACTTGGTTCGTAGAAATGCATTGAATTTTTTGTATGGGATTATAGATTGGGATGTCTTGGGGTCTGGTGATCCAATCTTGATTATAAAGCTTCTTTGTCTAACGTTATGTTCAATATTAGGGATGGTCTTGTTGCGGTACATCAAAAATGTTGGACTATATCATGTATACCGAATCCTTTCAGATGTTAAAAAGATATATCCATGTCATACTAAAAATCTGGGTTTTGTTTAGAATGGGGTTTTTAGAGGTATGAAAAGAGTAAAAAGTTATCTTTTGATTTGATGTTTTGTGAAAAAAATGAGTTTGAGGTGATGATTTTTGAAAAATACAGTGTCAAATGAGAGTGAAAGTTTGTAATGTAAACAATAGTTTTATATTTTCTTTAGTATTAAAATAATAATTTTATTTACATAATTAACTATATCACTATAAAATTATATTAATTATTATTATTATTATTATTATTATTATTATTATTATTATTATTATGTACTCACGAGGATATTTAGTTTTTTATTATTTATTTTATACATATTTTCAATATAATAGAGTATTTGATATAAAGAATAAAATTGCAGATGAAATTGCAGATAATCGATATTAGATATTGGAATTGATAACAAAACAATGAATTGAATAAAAAATATTTTGACAAATAACATTATTATATTTATTTAGTATATTTTTATTTTATTTATTTATTTTTTTATTTTTGATTTTTGATTTTTTATTTCAATGTGTTTGGTGCAAAATTTAATTTAATTTCGGGTCAAATTAAGATGGGACTAGGGATGTCAAATGGGGCGAGTTAGTCCGGATCCGCCCCGGATTCGGTCTTAATGAAACGGGTTCGAGTTTAAAATTTGGTTTGGAGTAGGTTGTGGATTTTGAGTTTTAGACTCATTTGGAGCGGGTTACAGGTTTTACTAAAAACTCGCCATTTCCTGGACCCAGACCCGAACCCTAATATTTTAATAATTATTATAATTTATTTATATTTTTATACAATATAAATTATATTATTTATTTATTTAAAAAAATTTAAACATAAAATAGAACTTTAATTTTAAATCAAATTTGTGTTTGCATTTGTTTCTCTTACAATTCTCTTTATAAATGAGACTATTGCTCACCGTATCACTGTGGACACTAATTTTTTGGTACTTTGACGCATACTTTTTTAGTATTAAATTATTTTTTAAAAAGTTTATTTTATTTTTTTCTTAAAAAAACGGGTTTGTCGAGCTGGCCCCGAACCCGGCAGGACGGGTCGTGGGGCAGGGTTGAAGCGGGATGGGGCGGGTCTTGGATCATAATATTTTTTAGCAAAGCGGGTCTCGGGGCCTACAAAACCCGTCCTGAATCTGCCCAGTTGACATCCCTAGATGGGACTATTATTTCAGCACAAAGAATATCATACAATACTGATAATTTGGTATATCAAATTGTTCGTATGGTATTAAATTATCAATGTATGTCGGCGGGCTGACTCTTAGGAGGAGAGCACTGTTGCTCAGGGCCTCTATTGCTCAGGGCCTCTATTGAAGAGAGGGTTCATATTTTAAAATGTTCAAATTATTTTATTAAATTTTAAATTTTAAAATTAAATTTTAATATTTATTCTTCAAAATTATTCAATTAAATTTTAAATTCTAATAATATATATTTTTTATTTTTTCTTCTTAACAATGTCTCACCTCATCTTTTCAAATCCAATCGTAGTATACACTTCACTTTTTCACACTGTCGCATTGCATCCATCCACCTAGACCAAACTCGTCTCCCCCTCTCTCTTTCTCTCTTTTCGAACCTCCGGACACTCCACCTTTTATCTTCTTTTCCCAAACGACACCGCCAGACCGTCACTTTCAACCTTTTTATCCGGTCGACGTCAATGTTAGTGATATTATTTAGAAAATACATTTTAATCTTTATAGAACCTATAATTTATTTTTGCTTAAGGCCCTAAAAAAGTTTGATACGGCCTGTAGGTTTTATTATTTATGTTTTTAATTTTGATTTACCCTATTTATTAGGTTTTTTAGTAATATATATCTAATATTTATTTTTTATTGAAGATATCCGCATCACATCGATTATTATTTTATGAACTAAAATATTTCTCAAATGACTTATTTAATTGCTTCGTTAGTTGAACAACGCTAACTGAATGATTTTTTGTTAATGAGTTTATTATTTATATTTAAAGGTTCTGTTTTTTTAGTGTTGTCTGGTGTTTGATTTATTATTTCAGATAAAATATATCGTCCTAAAAAATATTATTTTTTATAAATTAATATTCTATCTGTTTTGAAAATTAAATAAATAAGGCTAAATTTATTAGACTAAAAAATATATTTTCTCCATCCCAAAAGGTTGTCTTGTTTTTCATTTACATTCCTACTTTTTTACAACTATAATTAATTATTACTCTAATCTACTTTTTAAAAACGTGAGGGTAATTTAATCTTTTAAATTCTACTTTATACCCATCTTTTATTTAATACTATTATTTCTTAATTCTCGTGTCAATTTCCCACAAGACATTTATGGGAAGTAGGAAGTATTATTTAAGTAAAACATTAAACTTAAATTAAAATCTAACAAATTTTTATATTTTGGAGATTTTATTAAGGTAAAATTGTGAAAATTTTAAGTTGCACAATATGACATATTTTGATTGTATATGTTTTTACTAAACAACAATCATGATTTCTATTTAAATATTTTATATAATTTTACAAATATCACATCTAAACTATTATTTAAAGAAAATTTTAAAATTAAAATACAAAATAAATTATTTTATTTGTTCGAGTCATATGTATTTATTTGTTTTTTTTCACATAAATTTTAGTTTATTAATATTTTATAGTTAATAGTATAATAGAAAGATAAATAATAAAAATAATTTTGCTCTTAAATTTATTTATTTTTTAATGACATTATTTGTAATATTGGGTAAATGGAAGAGTATTTTTTCATTAAGGTAAAAAGTACTCTTTTGAAAAAAAAAAAAATTATACTCTCTCCTCTCATTTCAATTGTCTTCGTTTCTTTTTTTTTTGTCTGTTTCATTTCAATTCATATGTTTTTATTTTTGGTAAAATATACTAAATCTAAACATACTTAACAAATAAAAATCAACTTAATTAAGTTTATAAAATATGACATCACACGTCATAAGACCCACTCAAAACTCCTTTTTACTAGGGTGTCTTCCACTTAAATCTCTTTGACGAAGTCAACTTTCACATAACTCCCCATTGTTAATTTTTTTTTTCCCTAATAACCCCCCATTTCAAATTATCTATATCTTTCAACTTTAATTTTTATTAAAATGACTTAAATACCCCTACTAGTTAAAAAGACTTACATACCTTTAATATACAAAATTTAAATAAATATAAAAACACAAAAAATCTCACTGTTTGGATTGTTTCTTCCACGGAGCGATCGTGCGCTGCTGAGGTTAGTTTTGCTGGATTAAATTTCTAATTTTTCTGCATCATCATCAATAGGTTACTCTCAAAATTTGAAATTCTAAATCATTGCTAAGTTTTTATACTATTTATTTTTTGTTTTAAAATAATTTTTAGGGTTATGTATTTTAATAGGTTGTTGATTTTTTTACCGTAGAAATATCAAGTGAAGGAAATATATCTAGTATTCTTCTTGCGTGTAAGAATGAAGGAGAGCTATACGTAACATCAATAGAGTCAGATGCTACATTAGTAGATATTTTTTTGAAACTAGAGCGAAAATGGAGATACATTAATAATAATTTAACGAGACTTCAATATATAGCTCCACTGCAAAAGCTATTTGTCACTTTGGATTGCGACGAAGATGTTGCAAATATGATACACATGCATCTAGATTTGAAGTTGACGGTGGTTGATAATGATAGTATTATCGAACAACAAGGCAATCCGTTCAAATCCATACATGTATTGTTTGTCCATCCAAATATATTATATCTAGTGTGTTTATATTTATACATTTTACTATGTCACTCTTTTTCTTGCAGAGACATTGACATAGAATCTAACAATGAAATGACAATTGTTAAATCGAAGTCATTGGATTCCTTTTCCCGCTCTCAAAATGGGACAATCAAATTTTTGCGGATGCCAATGATTTTCGTATGACTTTGAAAAATTATGCTATTGCCACTCGCCGTTCTTTTAAGTATAGAAAGAATGACAACAAAAAAAATATTGTTGTATGCAACAATGAGAGTTGTGAGTGGCGTATATATGCCACTTATCATGTAACAGAGGTGCTATTTCACACACGTAAGTCCAACATGCAACACACATGCGGTGAAAATAATCTTCAAGATCGAGGCCGTCCTCGTGCCGACTCCCCATGGGTAGCCGAAATCGTGAAAGACAAGCTAAGGATAACTCCGTTACATAGGCCATCTGATATAGTAAAGGACATACTAGCCGACTACAAAGTTAAAATTAGCTACAAAAATGAATGTTTAGCAAAAGAGATTGTTGTTCGAATTATATATGGCGTAGAAGGTCATGGCTTTGATAAGTTGCGATGATATTGTAATGCTGTAAAACAAACAAATCCTGGGAGCATTGCAAACTATGAGACAGAGCTGGTGTGAAATAAATTTCACCGTCTTTTCATTTGTTTCTATGCATGCCTAGCTGGATTTGTCCGTGGATGTACACCGATTATTTTTCTTGATGGAACGCACTTGAAGACAAAGTATAAAGGTTGTCTTCTAAGTGCAGTTACAGTTGATCCTAATGATGATTTATTCACAATTTTCTTTGTTGTTAAGTTGTTGCACAATTAAAATTTATCATAGT